GGCCGCCACGGCCACGGCGCCGCCGACGCCGGAGAAGGCGGCCCAGGCGGCGGGGGAGGCGCGACGGGAGGATGGACTGGACGGAACGGACTGGGGGCTAAGAATCTCCGTCGTGAACGTTGGGGGGTTTGAGTCCATCTTTTAGTGGATCTTTCTTTGGGGTTCAACGGAAACGACAATGACCGCATCCAACGTTGGCCGTACGAGATGGGTGACGCGTGCGTGTTAAAATGGGGGAGAGCGACCCTCGTTGGACCCCGTGTAAGATGGGAATAAACCAAAAACATCCAAGAACGTTTTCAGGGGTCTCCGTATTAAACATGCAATTTGCATATTGTTTCTGGTAGGAGATCCCTTGACAAACTTTACATCCAGTTTGTTTGTGTTGTCAGTGACGGTCGCGAGGTCGTACTTGAGATGTGAGGCTGTAGGTGACAATGGAATCAATGAATGAAACGTGAGCACATGTCCGGGTCATCAGCCAACCATGCATGAAGTCACCAGCAACCACTCAGCAACTAAAACATTTGGTATCACTAGAAGAGCTAACTTGCACCCCTACGTGACCCGAAGCACCCAGCGGCCGGGGCCACGGGGAGGGATATGCCCTACTGTAGACCAGGAATATGCCCTGCTGTAGACCGTTCCCGGCGTGAAAACCATCTTTTGGAGTCACGGCCTTTATTTGAGTCTGCGATCGTCTCGGGTATTGTGAGCAAATGCTTATTTCGGTTGAGATATATAAGGGGTTAGCCGACCTAAATAAAGGTTACCATGTTGAACTATCAACCACTGCCAACCGCCAGGTTGAAGGTCTGTCCATATGGTGTGCCCTATGTGCACAGAGGTTGAAGAACCGTATGCAGACTATTCCATATAGGTACCCCAGGTGACGCGTCCTGTTTACGGTTGGCACCACCTCCCAGGCCGCGGCGAAAGCCACGGGAATGTCCGGCCACTGGGCGACGCAAACACGACTGGCATGGACTGCCTCCACCTTATAGCTTCTAGCTATACTAGTAGCTTCTTGTTACGTTCGTAGCAATGGCCTCCAACCTACTTGCGATGGCCTTCACCGTGCGTAGCGTCCTTGCTTGCCCCGGTGCCCCAGACAGACCCCGAATTCAAACCCACCACTTTTAAGGTCGTAGGTGAATATGTCTACATGGAGTCTTTGGATCCGTCCACCCTGTTGGGAGTCCCAGTGACCGAACTCCCAGGGGATCGGAAGTGTCGGGTTGAACCTTCCACAGCACCGAACGTTCGTGGGCCGAACGTTCGTTGCACCTCCTCCAGTGAGTGGGAACTTCGAGCACTCGCAGTCACTAGCCAAGAGCACTAGCACATGGTCCGAACTCCTGCGTTACATCTTTGATTTCAGACCAACCTCGCGAATGATTTATTGGAACTTACAAAAGAGCCAATACAGAGGCTCTCATCTTGCACGATGCTCTCACCTCCTCACTGACGAAGCCCGCACGAAGTGCACACGGTCAACGGGTCGTCTTCAGGTGCGGCGGCTGGAGAGGCAGCTGCATTGAGCGCTGGAGAGGCAGCGGCTGAGGCGGCGGAAGCTGCAGGCGGGTTAGAGGTGTTCTGCCCGTGAATCTCGGTGGGGAAGAGATGGGAAGAGGTTTGTAATGAAATGGAGCTCTTAGCGAAACAACGATCTAAGTCTCAACACAGCCGGTTGCTCAAGGGGCAGTGAGGTCCGGTGTGAAGTGTTGACCGAGACATTCTTTGATGATCATGAGACTCATGAGATGCACATCCTATCCGCCTTCAAAGACCAATTACAAAAATGTTTCGACCCGGTTTGGGCATAAAATCCATGGTATACTCCGGCGATCCCATCGGTGGTTCCCATTTTCGACTCATTCTTGCCACTCACGCTGCACGGTGCACGGTGCGACCTTGGCAGTTCACCGAATTGATGCCGATGCCCCAGGTAAACCCGTAGGTCGGACGGTTTTTGGAAGTTCATCTTAGAGATCTCTAGAGCCCAACCGCTGCAAACCGTATCACCGATAGGGTTTGTCCGGATCGTATCAATTGCGGGTCGACTCGCTTCCACCGACGAGGCTCGCCGTCCCGCAGGACTCACGCCTTGGGGTGTGGCCTCGATGGCCGGTGAGGCCGCAGCCCACGCGGCCCAAGCGCAAGGCCGGAGTCGTCGCCGCGTCGCCACGTCGCCCCGATGTTGAGGGGGCCAAAAGCGAGGCTGGTTTGATGGGGAGAGCTCATGAATTCACGAATGATGTGTTCTTTTTTTTGGGGGGAGCTTTGAATGCTAAGCATGTTTCGCCATGTTTGGGCGCATCCAAGAAGCACTGTGTAAAACACGACTGGCTGGAAGCCATGTGCTTCCAATTTTGCTGCAACAGCATGACCTGGTGACCTTGTGTCGGAGACAAGACCTCCCATTGAAGCAACCTCATAGGAACCTCAAAGAGACGCAAACAAAAGAGCCTGATGTGGTCTCACAGATCATAACTCACGCATTTGCTCGAATGCAAAAGGTAAACATTGCTCGAGCGAGAAGGCTTTGATTTCTGCGCAGTTTCGTAAGGAATTCGACCTGGACTAAGTGTCTACGTCAACTCAGTCATCCGTGTCGATACACAAGTGCCCTGAGTTGGACGTGTCAGATTTGGAGGAGGCGTTCTGGATGCGATCGCCGGGACGAGGGGTCGTACTGATGTAACCAGTGGGCCGCCAGCCGCCATGTTTGTGGATGCTCTTGATTGACTCAAGCTTGCTGCAAGGGTGAGATCTTGGACCGTAGACGATCGCAGACCATTTGCCGCCCGCCTGCATTCCTGGCCCCGTCCGTGGTTTGAGTCTGTCACACTGCTTTCCTGAAAGAAGACCTTTGAGCTACCCCAGACACTCCATGGGACTGCCATAGGACTGCCGAGAAACGGCCAGGGGTGGTGGTTTGGGGGGTCAATGGGGCGGCAGTCCTATGGCAGTCCCATTAGTCGTGTCTGGGTCCAATCAAAGCCCTCACCTGGTGGCCCTGAACTCACCCGTCCCGTCCGCGGGAGGTGCAAACCACAAGTCTTCGCCGTCGCTTCCAAGCGGCCTTCGGAGGAAAGGCAGGAAAGGAAGGCACCATGGAGTGGAAACACATGGGACAAAAAGAAAGCGGATGAAGGCACCAAGACTTGTAGCATCTTTAGTATTGGAAGCTGCTTTGCCTTGTTGGCACTCAGCCTATAGCTACCAACAGCGAGGAAAGGACGACCAGGTCGTGGTCGGCAAAGTCACAAGGATCAGACACACCGCCACCAGAAATTGCCACGAAAAGGATCACTGCCGCACTACTAGGTCCATTAGGTGTCCGAAGTTCCGTTGGTCATTGCTAGGTGAACTGTTCTTGTGATGCAGCGTCTACTTGAGCAAAGTCCTCACACCAAAAACCCGGCGTTGCTTTCGATCAAAGACATCGCGACGCGCAGAAAGCGTGGTCTGGACCTCAGACTTCACCGTTCACGTTCGGTCCTTCGGTCATGGTTCTCACGACCGTGGCGGGGAGGATGAAACCACCGGTGGTTTGGGTCGTTTTCGGTGTTTGTTCACCGCGAAGGCCACGACCTTCGGTTAAAATCGTTTTTCTTCGGTTTGCTTCGGTGGCGACCTCGGTGAAGGCATTTGCCAACAAGGACCAACCTGATTCTGCATAGGTGACCAAGGACCAAGGCATACCCAAGCACCATGAAAAATCGGGCAGATCCAGAGTCCGTGTTTCTCAACGATGGTTTCTCCTTTCGCCATGTCCTGTACATGCAGGATTGTCCCAATATGTCCCAATTGTGCCTGTTCATGTTTGCATTTTGCTTACCAGTTTGCCGCATTGATCCCAATTGTCCTTCCGGGAGAGCACAGCAAAAGGTCTCCGCATGGCGCGCTTGCACCGCAAGCGCCTGCGTCTCCATGCATGTCGTGTCTCCGTGGAGACCTTTTGGGCCATGCTGCGAGTCGCACCGACGGAACAAATCATGTGGCTTGAGGGAGATTGACTGGAAAAACTCGAAGGGAAGTCGCTCCTGCCATTTGGCTTACTAAAGCTATAGAGTTCCTGAAAATGGCACACCATATTCATGCGATACTGCATTGACCATATACAGCCTGGATTCGGGGAAGCACTCAGATTGCCTTTAAGGGGCATTATACAAGAAGGCAAATATATTCCCGACAGACAGGCTTCCAGCTCCGTGACAAGCGCACCTTGCGCCCACAAAGAGTTTGTTGAAGCACAGTCAGGCGGTGGCCTTGCTATCCATGACTTTGGAGTCCAAGCAAATGCGTCGCTGTCATCCACTGCACCATGCTGTGCCTCATTTCAAGATCTGTCGCGCACCAAATAATCTCGATCACGGTGCTTTGACCATTGGGCCGATCATCAAAAAGGCGGTTTGGGTTCGGGTTTGCACTTCTCGTTCTTTTCCAGCCACGAGCGACAAGGCGGTCATTGGGATGTTTGGGTTTTGGAGTGTTTTTTTTGCACGATTTCACCTCTGTTGTTGGTTTTTTCGTGTCTTCACCACCCATCCACCGGCTCGTCCCGCTGGTGAAACCGGTCCTCGGTCCCATAATCAACGTCTCTGGACGAGGGACGTGGACGGGTGACCAGCAACGCCATCGGTCCAGCTGTTTTGCACCTGGTTCATCAACGCCATGGAGGAGCTTCGTTCGGTCAGGACCTGGAAATGCCACTTGACTTCCAAGAGAGGTGAAGTGACCTATAGTAAGGACCTTACTATAGGGTACCGGGATAGCCTAGTTCGGGTGCTTCAACCTCGGTTGGTTGGACGAATCGATGAGGACAGGTTCTCGGGACTGTTTCGGGGTCACGAGCATTGCGGCCCCGAAAGTGTAGCGTGTGGGGTTACATGAGCAGCCCGTATAATATCTGATAAAAACATATGTGTATATTTAATTTATATTTATATAGAGTGCTATGTTCATTTCAGAGGGCCAGGTTTGCTTCCAGGCTTCACAACATGCAATCCTTAGATACCAATATGCGGTGCTAGTGCTTCATAGCTCGTGCTCGTAGCTGTAGATCCGTTTGTTTCATACATAGATTAGAGCACTTATCAATCGCGGAGGAACAAAAATCACCTGACGCAATGGCTGGAAACATGGTGCAGTGATCGTCTTGCAGTTGCGAGAACAGCCCTGCTGCGCTGGTCAAGGCCCGGCTGTGGAACGGAAGTGTTCGGAAATGACGGGGAAGTGACAGAGGGAGAAGAGACATGTCAAGTGGAAAACTTATCGCATAGGCATAGGCGCATCAAAGACTATAGTGGCAGGATGTTTCCAGAAACATTTATCGCCTCCCTTGAAATAAGAGATGAGGCATACAGAAGGGGAACATATGTTCATCTCATTGATTGGCGAAACAAGTGGGGCAACAAGAGGTTGATAGATCGAACGTTGGAAGCAAGTGGAGATGGTTTGGTCCCGAATTTTTCAACGGGGGCAACTGGGGGCAACGCAACAACGTAACCGTTACTAAGGGTTTTAGGGCATTCCAAGAGGAATATAATTCAGCTTTAGGGCATTCCAAGAGGGATATAATTCAGCGGTATGTTTCGACAAGAGAGAACCCACACAAACAAACTATATATGTTATATTATTATATGGGGCGTTTTGGATTTGGATTGTTGTGAACGTTGGTTGAGATTTGGAACGTGGTTCTGCTCAGGCCGACCGGAGCATCCAGTGCGATCTTTGCTCAAGGGCGGATACGACATTTTTCTGTGCGGACGCGGTGTGATTCGCATTCTTTGCGACCGGCTGTTTTCTGAACAATTGCTCAGCATACTGCGGCGTCAGGAAACTGCATTCAATATTATAGCAGAAGACAGCCGAATTATGATGACTTCGTATTTAAAATCATATGACTATAAATGAAAGATTATGACTTTGACACGAGTGACAGATTATAAAGCGATCGATTGATTTCCACCAATGTTATATCACTGTTTCGTGCCTCGCATGCTGACTCCTGTTGCTTGGAGGATGCAGCAGTGTTTGAAGTCTGCGAGTCTTGTGGGGTTTCCTCCAACTGTTCGTCGGGCGAACGCTCATCCGAGAGGATCAATACACCTTCCCACAGCTGAACAAGACACCAAAAACAGCCCTGAGCAAGCGACAGCCACAACAGGATTGACATGGCACAAAGAACGACATCCGCGACTAGCGGCATGGACCCTCAAAAGTCTGTTTGTTCAGTCCGTACTTTTGACCAGAATTGCATTCTGGCGAAGTACACCTGTTTTTCGGCGTACCTTTTCTTGACGGATTTGGACCTAAGTTCTACGCCTCAAAGCAAACACGGGAGCGAGCTGGCAGCGCCCGCGAAACGTACACCATGCTCAAACCAACGAGAAGACTAGGTTGATCAGTCAACTCCCGCCCACTTGTCCAGCGCCAAAAGGTCTAAGGACTGTTTACGGCCTTCTATTTCCTCAAGTCCTGTTTTTCATGTTGAAGTTTCTCAGGAGGATGCAGCAGTGTCTGAAGTCTGCAAGTCTTGTGGGGTTTCCTCCAACTTTCTGTCAGACGAATGCTCATCCGAGAGGATCGATAGATTATCCCACTGCTGAACGAAACAGCGACAGCGCTGAGCAAACGACAGAAACAACAGGATGAGGCTCGTTGGGGCGGGGCACACTGGCAGGCTGCGACGCAGTTTGGCATCGAATCGCAGACGACAGTCGAATGATGATTTCCTTGCTAGACGTCTCATGACAGGGTTGAACGAGGGTGTCATTTGCACGGATGTTACCACTGTTTTGAGCCTCGCATGCTGACTCTTGTTGCTACATGCAACATCCGACCTAGTTTCGCATGCATCCTCATCCGGTTCAAGTTTCTGAGGAGGATG